ATGGAGGATGTTAAACTGCGTGAGCCTAGACGGAGAGGGGGTAAAAGTGTAGGTTTTGACAATGGCCTGTCTTGGGAACAGGGGTGTTTAGAAAGGGGGGGGAGCTGGGGGTCTGGATTATGGGGCCACTAAGGGATGGGCTTAGATGTGGGTGGTGACAGGAATGTCTGGGGAATGATGTTAACACCACACAACCTGGGCAGGCTTAGGGGGCTCCCCAGCCAAGCATGGCTCGGGGGCATGGGGTCCCCAGTGCCCCTCTAGCTGGGTTGGAGCAGCCATCATGACAACCATCATGTCTTCTCAGGATGGCCTAAGCCTCTTGGACCTAGGGACAGGGGGAGGCTTCAGAAAAGTGACTGAGATTAGAGCTCCTGCCTACCCTGGCAGGGAGAGGAGGAGCTTCAACTAGATTTAATTTGATTTGTCAAAATAAGAAAATTCCTCGTTTCTTACATCCTGAGTGCCATCAGGTAATTCACATACAGAATTACAAACTGTGGTATGTGTGAGGTAAGAGGGGGTGGCCATAGAGATAGAAAAAAGAGGGCAGATTCATTATTTACTTAGCTGGCAGAGGGCATAGGTCTTAGTGGCAGACTGGAAGCAGAGGCTGGAAATGGATGCAATTTACCCCCCAGGTTTCGGACTGAGACTGGGGTGCATTCCCCATCCCCTTCCTCTAGATGTCCATCCTCGCCGCGACAAAGACTGTGGAAGGTGCTGCTGCAATAGGACTCGGCCCTGTGATCTGCCCCGAATCCGCAGGCGCCGTCTCCTTGCTACCCGAAAATGCCAAAAATGTGCCCCAGCGGTACCCGCCCTCGCACCCCCAGGTGTTAAGGGCGGGGATCACAGCACGAGAGGAGTTAAATCTCAGTCTTTCCTCAGATCAGCCACCAGGGGCTCCAGAGAGGCCTCAGCCTAGTTCCTAAAGGGCCCCCCGGACCCGCCTTCGGGTGGCGCGCGTCCGCGGGTCCCCAGGATTCTCCAGCTAGCCTTCTCCCCGGCCTTGTCTTACCAAGGGCCAGACCCGCGCCCCGAAGTTTTGGCACCTGGAACCGGGGCTGGGGGTACGAGATTAGGGTTTGCAGCCCTGGGGCCACGTCCGATCCCTAAATTCGGTGCCTGGAGCCAGGTTCGAGACTCTTGGGCGGAGACTGAGCATCTTCGGGCTCAGTCGCGGATCCCTGCAGGCTTCCAAAGCAGCGGCGCCGCCCTTTCTCAGACAGCCGCGTCTATGTGGGCGGGGTTGCTGGCTGCGGCCAGTCCGGGTCCTTAGTCTGGATTCGTCAGGCAGCGGAGGGGAGGGGTAGAGAGGGGTGGAGACGGTGCGTGCAGGGGAGGGGCTGGGAAGAACGAGGTCAAGGAGGAAGTCTGCATCCGAGAAGAGCTAAGAGCCTTTAGTTAATTTCCCGCCTCTCCCCGCCCCAGCCCAGAACGGGGGCCTTGAGCCGACAACCTCTCTCACTAGGCCTTCTTCCAGTGCAGTGGAGAGCTGGGCGTGATGCAGGTGAGGCGGCGGCCTGCAGCTCAACCCTGGGCTGGAGATTTTGTCTCAGGATTTCCTCTTATCATCGGGACCATTCTACAGATGAGGAAACGGGTGGCTGGCTCTGGACTGGAGGTCGACCTGCTCCTAAGTGGAAGCTGCCAAATCCCACAGCTTCCTGTCCGTCACCTTTCGCCTGAGTTGCACTCCCTCCCTCAGCTTTTGACGCTGGGCATCATTCTCCGTATTGAATCACTCCTGGCACCACAGGCCCTGGTTTCTCCATACAGTTTTGGACGAGCACTTCCTCAGCTTCCTTTGTGCCTTTCTCTTCCTGCCTTTAACAAGTCACCAGAGCCTCAGGCTGGGTCCACTTCTCTTTCCGTTCTGACACTGTCCCTGAGGAAGCTTAGCGGGGGCCCATGGAGGGGCTGACCCCCAGACCTTGTTTCCAGGCAGCTCTCACTTCAGAGAGGGGGGCCCTGGTAGCCCATGGCTTTCTGGACATCTTCCCTGGGTGAGATGTTGCCCTCTCAGAGACAGCACCATCTGCCTGGCCCACGGAAATGTGTGTGGCTTGGGACTGGGTGTGTGGGTCAGAGGCAGAGCTGAAAGGAGGGGGTGGCGGTGCCGATACACAATACCGCTTTGGCCTCAGTGTGCCCTTTTCTTGTCGGCGGCAGGGCCCTATTAGAATTCATATAGCAGCAAACTTGTGATGGGCCAGGAAGAAGCTTCATAATCGGGGTGTGTGTGTGTGTGTGTTTATAGAAGTGGCTAGTCGGGGCAGAAAACCCTGGTGCTATTAGGAATAGAGTGAGGAGACAGGCTTGGTACCAGTTGCTTAGAAAATTGGACCATTTGGAAATCATCAGTACTTTCTGGTGGTCCAGTGGTTAAGATGCAGTGCATGGGGGCGTGGGTTGGATCATGAAACTAAGATCCCACAAGCTGTAGGATGCAACCAAAAAGAAAAAAAAGAAGAGTCCTTTAAAGGGGTTAATGTCTATAATGGGTCTCAAAAGTCTTAAAGGGGTAGGAGTGTTCCTTGGGAGCCAGCTTTGGTGGGGGCAATAGTCGCGGCTTCCCCAAGGGTCCCAGGCCCCTGAGGACTTTGGCTCCTTTTTATTTATTTTAAAAATATGCATTTATTTGGCTGCATTGGGTCTTTGTTGTGGCAGGTAGGATCTTTCATTGTGGCATGCAGGCTCTAGAAGGCACTGGCTTAGTTGCCCTGTGCCATATGGGATCTTAGTTCCCTGACCAGGGGTCAAACCCATATCCCCTGCATTAGAAAGGAGATTATTAACCACTTGATGACCAGGGAAGTCCCAGGGCTTTGTGTTTTAAAGAGGAGGCTACTGTAATTTACCCCAGTGGGATTCTAGCAGGAAGCATCTATGGTCAAGGCTGAGTTTTAGCCTCCAGCAGTCCCCCAGCCTTTTTTCCAGTGATACATTCACAGCCTACAGGACTGACTCACTGCCACCTGACTTCCCCCCGAGGTCCTGGGCTTCAGAAAACTGGTCACCCCTGCCTGCTCTCAGTTGTCTGCCCCAGAGGCCTGCTACACTCCTTGGTCAATCCCTCATGCTAATCAGGCTTCTTTCATTCAAGGACTTCCAGGGAGGGCCAACCCTGCCCACACACCCCTGCCCTGGCCACATCCACCATACCCCTTCCTACTGCTGCTGTCTGTACTTCATGGCTACTTTGAGAAGCTAGAGATTTTTCCTTCACTCTCCTCTCAAAGTCGGGCCTTTAGTTGACCTAGGGCCTCATCTGACACCACCTTTTATTGTCCTAAGCGGGATTTCTTTACCACTGTGACCTCATGCGCAGCACGGAGCGAGGCACAAAGTGGGTGGTAAGTCAAACTGCATGCATGAATGAGTGGGGGACTTCAGGCACTGTTTGAGAAGTCCTGGCTGAGCTGTCCTGGATACTGAGTGAGGACTAGCAGATGCTAGGTTCTGCTTCATGAGTGTCCTGGGACTCTTCTGATCGGAGGCCTAGTTTTCTCAAGAAGCATGACCTCTGGATGATCTTCAGGACCCTTGGCAATCGATTGTCATCCAGAATTAACCTGGGCCAGCTGGGCCCCTGCTTCCATTTTCTTCTGTAGGCTTCTGCTCTGAACAATCCAGGGCTCAGCCTGCTGTGGTTTGACACCTGTTTGGTACCTAGGCTTTCATGGAACTTGACCTGTGAAATAATAGAAAATATATGTGTTGGTCTCTGCCCCCGGTTCCTAGCACAGAGCTCTTAAAACTTTTGGAATTTCCTAGGTGATAGGAGTGTCTTTTGTTTTATTTTATTTAAAAAAATTTAAATTTGTTTATTTATTGACGGCACTGGGTCTCCATTGTTGTGCACGAGCTTTCCCTAGTTGTGGCAAGTGAGAGCTATTCTCTAGTTGTGGTGTGTGGGTGTCTCATTGCAGTGGCTTTTCTTGTTGCAGAACATGGACTCTAGAGCATGGGCTCAGTAGTTGTGGCGTACAGGCTTAGTTGCCGCTTGGCATGTGGAATTTTCCCAAACCAGGGATCGAACCTACATCCCCTGTTTTGTCAGGCAGATTCTTAACTACTGGACCACCAGGGAAGTCCAGGAATGTCTTTTGTTTTAATGAGGAGACTCTTGGTGGTCTCCTGGATAGCTTCAGGATGGAAACACCAAGTCACAATTAGAAGCTTGGAATTTTCAGTCCCGCCTCCCATCTGCTGGGAAGGGGAGAGGGGCTGGAGATGGAATTAATGTTCGATTATGCCAACATGATGAAGTCTTCATAAAAATCCCCAAAGTTTGAGGTTTGAAAATCTTCCAGGTTGCTCGAGGTACCGGGAGGGTGGTGTGCCTGGCCAGGGCATGGAGGTTGCATGTCTCTTCCTCTATACATTACCCTATTCTTTTCTCCACCTTGGTGTGTTATTTATCCTTTTAGGATAAACCAGTAAACACAAATGTTTCCCTGAGTTCTGTGAGCCATTCTAGCAAATTATTGAACCCAAGCAGGGAGTTGTGGGAACCTGATTAAAGCAAGTCAGTTAGAAGTACAAGGGATAGCCTGGGACTTGCAATTGGCATCTGAATTTGGGGAGACAAGGAGGCAGTCTTGTAGGATGGAGTTCTTAACCTGTGGAAGCTAATGCTGTCTCTAGGTAGATAGTATCAGAATTGAGTTAAATATAGAATCCCCAGCTAGTGGTAGAGAATTGCCTGATGTGCAGAAGTACTACCCTCTACCTGTGGTGTCACAAGTGAAATGTGGTCGGAGTGTGAGAGTTAAGGGGAAAGACAAGTGTGTCCTGCCTACACCCTCACAATGGGGTCCAGTTGTCAAGATCCTAGCATCTCCCACCCACTCCCATTGAATGCTGACAACTCACAGGAGGTGGGGATTTCTCAGATTGCCCAAATGAATAAATGCAGAGCCCTGCATGCCTGCTCTCCAGTATGCATGGTACACATACACACACACACTCAAATGAAGCCAGAGAGACACTGGTGAGCCAGAGGGACCAGTTTTATTAGATTCCAGCAAGACTATACAATACGTGTTTCATGCAGATTAAATAAGTGTCTTTGCTGCCCCTGAGAGGGAGCACTTTCACCTCCAGCTCCTTCTTTGGCATGTCAAGGGGTGAGTGTCAAGGGGAACCATCGACATATTCTGCATGGGGGACAGTTGGGATCATGACTGGGGGTGGTGGTGAGACCGTGGGCAGCTGAGGGCTCCTGAGACCTTGAGTCTTCAGAGGCTTAGGAACCATAGGACCTTGGTCCTTTGCTGGTGGTGGCACCTGAGGATCTTGATCTTTCAGAGGCACCGGGATTATAGGAACTTGACTCTTGACAGGCTCCAGGACCACGGGGCCTTGATCCTTGACAGGCGCTGCAATCACAGAATCATGATCCTGCAGAAGTTCTGAGACCCCCCTCCCTGGATCTTTGACTGGCTGTGGGACCAATAACCCTTGTTTCTCTACAGACTCAGATAGCACAGAACCTTCCTTCTTCACAGGTTCTATGACGAGGGCACTTGTATCCTTCAGTTGCTCTGGGACCATAGGACCTTGGTCCTTGACAGGTGCTAGGACCATAGGGCCTTGGTCCTTGACAGGTGATGGGACGATGGGACCTTGATCCACAGGCTCAGGGACCATGGGGCCTTGGTCTTTGACAGGTGCTGGGACGATGGGACCTTGATCCACAGGCTCAGGGACCATGGGGCCTTGGTCCTTGACAGGTGCTGGGACCATGGGACCTTGGTCCTTGACAGGTGTTGGGACCATGGGACCTTGGTCCTTGACAGGTGCTGGGACCATGGGGCCTTGGTCCTTGACAGGTGCTGGGACCATGGGACCTTGGTCCTTGACAGGTGCTGGGACCATGGGACCTTGATCCACAGGTTCAGGGACCATGGGACCTTGGTCCTTGACAGGTGCTGGGACCATGGGACCTTGGTCCTTGACAGGTGCAGAGGCCGTGGGGCCTTGATCCTTCAGAAGCTCTGGTACCACAGAACCTTCATCTTCAATTCTTGCTGGAACCATAGGAATTTGATTCTTTAGAGGCATGGGGTCCAAGGAATCTTGGTCCTTGACTGGTGCTGGGATCACAGAACCTTCTTTCTTTAAAGGCTCAGGGACTGTGTGATCTTGATCCTTAAGTGATGCAGGGACTATGGGACCGAGATCCTTCAGAGGCCCCGGGACCACAGGAGCTTGATCCTTCAGAGGCTCTGGGGCTGTGGGGCCTTGACCCTTTGAAGGCTCTTGGATCCCAGGACCTTGATCTTTCAGAGGCCCTGGGCCCACTGGACCTTGATCCTTGTCTGCCTCTGTGGCTACAGGACCTTGATTCTTAGGTGAATCCCTGGTGGGTTCGACCTGGCTCCTGCAGAGGAGAGAGAGGTGGTCACTGTGAGGGCCAGCACTTGGACCAGGGATAGGGCAGAGCACAGAGCTAAGTCTTGCCTAGTGGAGCCTCGGCAGGGCAGCTCTCGCTGGGGAGTCAGGAGGAGAATCTGATCTCCAGATCCTTAGTATAGAATGTGGGGTAGGGTGAGGGGCAGGGTTGGGAGTTGGTCATTCAGTGTGCTTGCCAATTGATTATAACCTGCAGGTGGCATGGAGGGCGGCCCCCAGGTGACACTGGCAGTACTGTACTGGGACTCAGAGTCTTCCAGTGGGCATCCTAGCAGCCTGTCCACCCCACACTCTCCCCAGGCCTCTCTTCCTTCCTCCAGAATAGGTGGGGTCCATCCTGGGGGCCCATCTTTGCTATCCACTCAGGTGACCCTGCAGGCTAGAGTGCTTCTGTTCTCAGGGCTTCCCAGACTCCTCCCTTTCCCCAACCCCCTTGTTAAGCGCTCAGTGGGGAGCGGCAAGGGGTCCCAAAGCACATATGAGAGAAAGAGGGCAGTGGGAAGGTCTCTCTTCCCCACCTCCCCGAAAAGGGTAAAAAGTATTTTATCACATTGTTTAGCACAGCTGGCTGGGGTGACTGTAAAAAATAGACCAACTTTTAATCAGTTTTATTATAGCTTTTAAATTCTCTTATAGACCATGCACTGCATTGTCACCTGCACCATATTTGGTGGTGACTGGCTGGGACTCCCCATTCAGGCAGTGAAGAGGCCCTGCTCCCCTTGCTCTGTCCCCACTCTGGCTCCCTTTACTCTCCCTGGGCCAATCAAATCTTTACACTTAAAACCACTTCAGTATTGTAACAGTTCCTGTCATTTAAAGCGGGTCCTGCAAGACTTCTAGTTGTACACTTTCTTAGCTCATTCTGGTTTGCCTCTCTGGGGATCAGGTGTGTCATCTATATCATTGGGTAAAATGATATCTACTCAGAAATTTGTGATGATTAGAAATTATATACATAGAGCACCTGTACCATGTTCCGTGTAATATTGCTATTATTTTTCTGTCTACTTAGAAATAAAGTTACACATCTTTGGACTATTTTTATTCTGACATGTCATCCCAGTCCAGAAGCTTCTTACCATATTTAGCATCTTGAGCCTCCTAGGAACTGACATTTCTCAACAGAGTACAGAGTGCCACAGGCAGCTTGTCCATCCTGTCCCTCTGGATGTCTCTGAGCATCACAGTGGAAGAGAGGGGCCGGGGTGGCTCCCTAGTTCAGAACAACATGGATCACAGCTGCCCTGGTCACATGGACTACCATTAGCAGGACCTTAGTGTTTATGGAGGGAGCAAGGCTACGAGGAGCATGCAAAACCTAAGAATGGCATTAAAATATCTCTAATATTTGGTGGTTGGCCAGAGAGGAAAAATAAAAACCTAATTCAGAGTAGAATCCAGCAGGAAATTGATTAGATCATCCTATCTGGAAGTGAACTACCTGGATAGAGTCATCCCAAATGGGATGATGAAGCTGAGACATGAGACGAAAGAGGTGACTAAAGCTTAACTTGATCTCAGGGCTTGGGTTGCAAAACCTATCCCACTGGCAGGATATGGGGCCAGTGATCTCTGCTGGCATGGAGATTTAAAAGAGGGCCAGACCCACGGCATGGAGTGCAAAGTACCTTTCCCTGGATGTTTGTGGCACTGGTTCCCATGCCCTGCCTCATTTTTCTGCTTAGTGAGCATTCTCAGCCAGCTGTGAGCTAACCCCGAAATTGCTCTGATATACACCTCTATACTGATTTGGTTAGGAAAATTGTTTTCTTAGTAAGTGTCTTTAATCATGGAAAGATTTAGAATTAGATTAGAAATGATAAATTAAATAATATTACCTTTGGAGGTATTACATTTAGGAAAAAAATCTGTGTAGATTTAGTTTGAAAGTATTCATGCTGTTTAAAATAATTTGCATATTATATCTAATATAATATATATTGTTATAATATATATAATATATTTGGCATATTATATTTAGACTAGTTTTGTGATTCCAATATAAAATGTGTAATGGAATAATTAATTTAGAGTTGTAGTTTTAAGTTGAAAGATATGACAATTTTATAAATTTTATAAACAATGATGAACTTTTATTAAAAATCGATAGTAAACACATTTTTAAGCTTAGTTTTTTAAAAAAAAATTACTAATAATTAAAAAAATTTAGATGAATTGAATTAAGTTATAAAATCCTCCTTAAAGGGTTTGTTCCATTTTACTAGATTTTTAAGTTTGTTACTTTTGTAAATTAAACATTTTTTTTTAAAAACCAAAGCAGTCTTGGTTGGTCTTCCTGTGAACAAAACCACCCTCAAGTGCAACATAAAACACTCATTGACACTGACTGGCCATCACTTGGTTCCATGGTGGCCTGCCAGTCTCCCCATCTGTAAAATGCCCCACCACTCACAGTGTCCTCTGTGTGAATGAGACAGAGCCGCACACCCAAGCTGGAAGCCAGCGTGTGGTTGGTGACTGGTGGTGGGCCATGTTCAGGCCACAGGCCAGCTGCCTAGGGGCCTGGTCCAGCCTGCACAATTGAGTCTATGTCTGGTGCCTTGAGCCAGCTGCACATCTCAAGACAGCATAGAGGACAGGCTCCTCCCGCCTCCCAGCTTGTGTACGCTCTCAGAAATTAGAATGACCTGTTGGCTTTTCCTTGGCTTCTGTGCTGCTTATTCCCTGCCAGGTCTTGGGCAATTACTCAACCACAACAGACCTCAGTTTCCTCATCTGTAAACTGGGGATGACAATACAAATGCCAAAGAGCATTATGACGGAGGATCAGATGATCCTGTTTGCATCTGAAATCATAATTGGTGACAGTTGTAGAGAGCTTTGGTGCCTTACGGGCTTCTCTGGTGTCTCAGGTGGGCTTTCCTGGTGGCTCCTGCATTGCAGGATACCTGGGTTTGATCCCTGGGTTGGGAAGATCCCCTGGAGAAGGGAACAGCTACCCACTCCAGTATTCTGGCCTGGAGAATTCCATGGACAGAGGAGCCTGGCAGGCTACAGTCCATGGGGTCACAAATAGTTGGACACGACTGAGTGACTTTCACTTTCACTTTGGTGCCTCACATAAGTAAGTCCATAACCACAGTAACTGTGTAAGAGTTTACCAGATGCTCACAGGCACATTATTTTAGCTCACTGAAGCCTCCTGGCAGCCCTGGAGGAAGGTAGGAAGGTGATGGACAGCCTTGCAGTCTCACCCTCTTGCAATGTCCTCTGGCCACCCTTGCAACTTGACATACTTTCAATGTTTATTTCTTTGTTTCTGCTGCCTGGATTGCCCTCTTTCACCTACTTTCCTCTGTCTGTCCCTGAGGGCTCGGCTCGGATTCCCACCTCCTCACAAGGTCTTCCTGGATGCTCAATTAGTTTTGCCTGTATCTCCCTGCAGCACCATTTTACAGTCTCTCCCTGCATTTATAGATGCCCTGATTGCAAGTTCCCCCCCTACCCCATTTGAGTGTGATCCCTGAAGGCAGGGACCATCCACCTGGCCTGCAGCCCCAGTGCCCAGCACAGTACCTGGAACAAAAAAAGATCAAACAGAATCACAAATTACTGTTGCTGAAACCTGGTTCATCATCTATCCCATGGCCCCAGCCAGAAATTCCGAGTCATCCTAAATACCTTCTGCTCCCTCAAAGCCTTCACCCAATCCATGTGGAACCATCTTTTCTGGCTCCTAACATGTATCTCCTAAATAGTCACATTTCTTTCCCTCCCTATCTTCCCCCCAAGCTGTGCCATCATCTCTGTGGACCACTGTCACAGCCCACTAACTGGTATCTCTGGCCTCTCCTCCAACATAGTCTTCATACAGAAAAAGAAAAAGAAAAAAGAGCAAATCCTTGGGACTTCCCTGGTGGCCCAGTGGCTAAGACTCTGCCTTGTCAATGCAGAGGGCCAGGGCTCAATCCCTGGTCAGGGAACTAGATCCTACATGCTGCAACTAAAGATCCCGCATGCTGCAGCTAAGACCCAGTGCAGCCAAAAAAGAAAAGAAAAGAAAAGAAACAAACCCAAAGGAAGTCTTTCCCTCTGGCTGAGATGTCTTCAAGGCTTCTCCTTGCACTGAGAATAAAGAAGTTTTACTCTGTTCCACGACCCTCCCTCGCGGACCAGCCTGCTCCCATCGCCTTCCAGCCATCTGTGCCCTAGCCTCCCAGCATGCCCTGCTCCTTTCATTCACAACTTTGCACATGTTGCTGTCTCCTCCTGGGACATTCTCTTGCTCCCTCTTCCTTGCTAATCCTGCTCATCCTCCAGGGAAGCAGATGTGACCAGGCCACTGTACAGGCTCTCTTTGTCCCTGCCATTTTCTTTCCTATCCCTTATCACAGATAATTACTTGCATTCTTTTCCATTAATGTTTCCCCTTCTAGACTGAAGTGTTCAAAGGGCAGGACCATGTCCATTTTGTAAATCATTGTACCTAAAACAGTACCTGACTCAGGGAAATCTCTGACTTGTCCAATCAATGAATAAATGAGAGGCTTTTCTGTGCCAAGCTCTGTTCTATTTGCAAAATGTAATATTCCTAGATTATATGAGAAAACCAAAGTCTTAGAAACTTAATTTTCTGCCTGTTTTCCTGTTTCCATGGTGACAGGCAGTGCCTCCTGGGTATACACATGCTGACCTTGAAGCCAAGCTTTATTAGCGCCTGGAAGTAGGATTATCAAGCCCTGCCTGAGACTATCTGGAGAAAGGGCTTTCTTCCCTCCCACTGATTCTTGCCTTTGCACACAGTTCTAATCTCATAATCCACCTATGATTTTTTTTTACTTCCCAGATTGACTCCTGATGCACCGTCACAGCGGGCCCCAGTTGAGGCCATGCTCCTGGCATAGGGCCTTGTTCAGAAATCGGGGGCCTTATTCAGACATCAGGGGCCTGTGGAACCTGTCCTTAAAACCCCTGCTTCCACAGCTTGGAAAAGCTCTGAGAAAG